TTTAAAATTATATAGGATATCACAACACTTATATTTGCATTCAATGATCAATATTTTATAATTTAATGTAATTTAAATAATAAAATAAGAGAGAGTAAAGGATTCTTAAATTACATAGAAGGGCTAAAACCAAACCTATAATATTTGTGTCATCACTAAATTTTAACTAAAGATATCAAAATGGGTTTTAGTTAAATATTTGAAATAATAATTAAGTGGGTCCTCCAAGTTCTTGGGGGGTTCTCTTTTGGTTTGCTTTTGTAGCTAGCAAAAGAGCGAGATGCAAAAACACAAGCTATCATGGTGGCATTTGATGCCTCATTCGGGTGGATGGATGGATGGATCAAATATATATAAACACACCGTCCAAATCCACAAGATCCTTCCGACCAACAAAAACAAAAAATGATATAGAAATATAGGATGCCCTCTACAATAAGAGACAAACTCGCTATTGGGTACTCTTTCGAGCCACTTTTTTCGTTGTTGTTGTATTTTTTTTTTTTCTTTTCTTCATTTGCTTACACGTGATGAACATGTCATGAATTTCACTTCATTGTACGTTAATTAGTGGATAAAATATATGGTAGATTTTATTTTGTTTGGTATGATATGCGCGGTAGGGTAGATGTTGTCCAAAAATCAATTAATTTTGGAGGTCATTTAACTCAGCTACGAGCAAGTGACCATATATTAATCATTAGGTGGCCTATGGTGGAGACTCCCACTAAAAAGATAATAAAAAATAAAGTGAGAACACAAACAAAGTAATTAAAAGTTAGCATTCTTAAATTTAATCACTTCCTATCTTTAATTTTACGTAGTTTATAGAGGTTCAAAAGAGAAAAGGGGGGAATTTGGGGTCCCCTTTTGAAAGAGACGTTTCGTTTACTAAGCTGTAGACTCATATGTAGGCAAAATAAATTCAAATTCCATGGGTGCAAAAATGTGGGTAAATAATTGAGTGGTGGGTCAATAGATTTAAATGATCAAAGTACTAGAGTGGCTACGTAACCAAGCACGAGTTTCATGCTTCTCAGAAAGAGATAAATTTTAAAATATATAAAAATTGATTTAAAAATATTATGAAAGTAAAATTTTTCAGAAAAAGTGGGTAATTAAGCTTCATCCATGTATCAGTTGTTGGTTCAATGTTTATTTTAATTATTTTGGGTTGTATAATACAATATAACCTTCTTCTATCACTTAAATTATTCTACCTATATGTCATGTGATTTAAATTTAAAATTAAATATCTTATTTTTAATGAAAGAAGATTATCATTTTTGGATTCAAGTCTCTTTTAAGTTGGTTGAGTATGTAAGCTACAATGCAATATTAAAAAAAGAGTAGGGATCCTTTTAAATATAAATTTTATATATTGTATTTATACAAAATTTTAACTATTTATTTGCTCATTTTTAATAATTAAGATTCATT